TGTATTTAAAAGTAGTAAAATAATTGTTAATAGTACCATAGTTAATAGGAAGCAGAATCCTGGTTCCTCCTGTTAATGAAAAGCTGAATTGGCTAAATAATTCATATGAGCTACATTCACAATGTTTAGAAAAACAAAAGCTACAATGGTTCATAATTATGGACCATTGACTTTGGCTTGCGCAGAGCCAGATTGGACGCGCTGAGCGCTTGTCATATTATTACAAATATTCAGTGTTTTCAACCATATAATGCTTATTTTAGGTTTCAGACATTTAATTACACATAAGTACTAGCAAAACCATTCATTTACAGTTTGTAAAATGCACGCTGATGTCTATGGAAACTGCAATAATCATCCTAAAAAATATAATCTGACGACATGTGTTTATTGATATCATATACAGATTGCGTAGGTAACTATAAAGTTTACTCTGCTTTTCTCCCAGTCTACCGGAGACCTACTTTAACGTGTTTCGGTAGGAGAGGATGAATTTGCGTGTTGTAAAAAAAGCTCGGATGCAGCGCGAACTAACATGGCGGCGCCCATCACCCGGTATTAATCAACACGGTCGACATAAAAGTGTTTAAACTACCAAATAGATTTACTTGCACATATTTCTGAATCGGAATATCAGATATTTCATAATATAGTGAGCATGTTTATGAATATTTTGAATAAAACAGGAAAAACGAAATAAAAGCGATCCATGTGTCATACAGATCTATTGTGGCTGTGTTGTGTCACATGACAAACATGACGCGTCGCCATGGAAGCAATAATACGTTCTAAAATAACTGTCGCCTATAAAACCTCATGCTGGGGGCTCAGCTAGATTATTTTCAACTCACGTGCGAAAATATCGTCGGTCATACCTCCCTCTAGAAAACTTACATCAACACAGAACGAAGCATGCATATAAATGCATTATGTTGCGTTTGTAGTCAAATTTATTGAGCATGAATGATGTTATTTAACATGACGACCTTGTTTCTGTATGTAGCGGAGTGTTTCTTTTGTTCTGGAAATTGTACTGTGGTTGTGATTTTTATGAATTTGACAGGGAAAGAATGACAGATGTTACAGAATGCTCCTGTAATGCATGTATGCCCACTGTTGTGCATTGTAATTATTACTAATTAAATAGTACACAGGGCCATAGACGAATAAACACCCAGCAATGAAACGGTTTAAAAATCAAGTTCATATATCCAGTATTATTAAATCATTTAGTTCTATTGTTACATGTTAGTAGGTAGAAGGCAAAAAATGTGAAATATCCACCATCCAATTCTTTTTTCTGTGCTGCTGATTTGTAGCACAAGACAATAGAATGCTTTAAAACAGAGGACAGTACTGCACTGAAGGGACAGACCTATATGGCCATGTCAGAGCGTTGTACAACAGAGCGACAGGCGCTTTACATGTGTGGTAAACGTGAAGCGGCTGTGTTATGCAGCTCTGAAGCGGTGTTTGTTAGTTCAGATAATGTTCTTAATTTCCTCTTTCCCCTTATCAGGTGCTGTAATTCAGAAGTCCTGTTATTGTACAATTTCAACAGTGGCTCTCAACTGGTGGGTCATGATCCAAAAATGGGTCATGGGTCAGTTCTGATGGTCAGCCACAGCAAGGGGGGAAAAGATCAATGTGGAAAAAAAATTGCAGCTGTTTTTTTTTTGTGCATAGTTACAACAGCAAAATGTGTATCATAAAAGTTAAGAAAATCTTTCAAATATCCTTTGCAGCAAATTCAGTTTGTGTCTAATTAGGCAGGACAGGATGACACCCTCATTCTTTAAATCCATGAACAAAACTATGAAATATGAACCTGATTACATTAACTACAGGCTCAGTTAAAATTATAATAAACATGGTTTGTGCAGTCCATAGACAAACTTTTGTATGGTGCCAATTACTGCTGCATTGAGCCTGAACCCAAAAAAATTTATCAAATGCAAAAACCAAACATATATTTCTGCATTGAGCCTAGATAATTCTAAAACAATTGAATTAACAAGCGGAAACGCCAATATGCAGTGTAACACCTGGGTTATAAAGTAAAACCAGGTGAAAACCACTGCACCTCCAGCAAAAGGACAAAATCTAGATACTTTTTAATAACACTTGACTCTGGAACGTAATTCAATTAAATACACATTTATATAGTGCATTTCACGATCATTGCAAAGCAGCTTCACAGAAAAAGTTTAAGGCGCTTATCCCAAATGTGCCTTGAATGACAACACACCACTTTGTCAGATTTATATGGAGACAAAGTGACCCAACGGTTAACAGATTTGATTTACCAACCTCCCACTTGGATGAAAGCAAAAGCATCAACAGTTAAACAGTCTAGACCATTGAAATTTCTGAGGATTCTTTTTCCAAGGAAATAAAATGCATAGAAGCCATGCTAAACAGATTAACCATGGCTAAAAGAGTCATTTCCTGGTAACATGGATCATGATCCATGACTCAATGTTAAGAAGAGAAAAAAAATACAAGCAAGCATTTCTTTATTGGTAACAATCAACGCATAACTTGCAAAATCATTAAAACACATGGTTTACAATAGAAATGCCCCAACTCATTTTAGACGTTCTCCAAAAATTCTCCCAACAATAAAGTTTGCTCTACTCAAGTTGCATCACTTCCGAGGAACAAGCCACCAGTCACTGAATACATGTGGCCGAAAAAGAAGCCATCAACGGAATCTGTTAAGAGAAAGGGAAAACCTAAATTCACTTTAAAACTCAAACCAGGTTACACATTACATAAACACTGCCTGAATTAAATTCTTATACATGCATGTGTCTTGCGACAGGATCCAGGCACAGAGAAGGTGACCTCTGACCCAGGTTTTAGCAAGAGTAGCTCACTCTACCCCCCTGACATGACCACTAGAAACACCAACAGCCTCCAGTGGACAAAGCATAGGAGGGATCATGAGACTAGATCAGACTGGTTGAATGAAAAAAATACAAGCAGTTTGAAATACAAGCAGAAAAAGCAGTGATATGCCCAAGTTACTCACCTAATGACTGTAGTTCTTACATTCTCTGCCTTTGCCATTAGCTGCAAAATACAAATTTAGACCGATCAAGTATCTTAATACAATTAGCAAGGCTAACTATTATAAAAATTGTTTCTCCCGACAGGATCCGAAGCAAGGAATGTTAAGCCAATACTTCAGGTTTTTGAGAGAATTCATCTACCCCCCTGTCTTAATCACTCAAGACATAACAGGACTTGAATGTGCAATAAAAGGGGTTGAAAGAAACTAGAAAGAAAAGTAAATCACTTACCAATTAATGGTTAGAGAAGGATTCTCAAGCACAACTGTGGCCTCAGGGCCAAACCAATATATGAGCCTAGACATGAAGATAAAAAAAATTAAAACATACAAACATATACTAAGCTTACTGCTTTAGAGCTGAACTTTCCTTTAAGCAAGAACTAGAGTAATGAGAAAGAATTTCTCTACTCTCTTTTGTTAGTCAATGAGGATTTTAAGCTAATAAATGCTTCCTTACCCTTATAGGGAAGACATCGTAGAAACTGGCATGTTTCTCTTCAGTCAGGGGGTTCAGATGGACAATCTATTAAACAGATGCAATCAACATCAGCAGGCCGCACATTCACCACGTGCGTTCCCGGGTAACACGTGGCACTGCTTCACAACTTAATACTTCTAGAATATGACCAAAGCTTGGCGGCAAGCTGTGCAACATGTTTTATCGAGCATCTTTTGTTTTACTCCAAGAACTATTTTAATACCTTTCTATACACTTAAGCTCACTGTAACTGCTCTGGTAAACTAAACTTGATTATTTGCGACACAACTTGTACATGTTTTACTGTGCGTGTAAGCGTAAAATGAAGCATAGCTTCAGGTAAGTTTAAAAAAAATATATATATATTTTAAATCTAAGAGAACCTTACCAACGTCCATACTGCGCCCGCTCATGCTGTCTCTGACCGTGTGTGTGAGATCTTTGTGCGACAGTGCAGTGCGGGAAGCAATGAACACGTGTGAGCTGTGAGGAATTCTGGGATATTTAAAGAGACCGCCTCCAGTTCATTTAAGCGAATCGTCTCTTTCAGTTCATTCAAAGATAAAAAAAAATGACTCCTAAAAACGCTCGGACGATTCAGTTTGATTGGCGAACAAAGCGGTCAGTTTCGGGAAAAGATCCAACTCGAAAAAACTATTATTGATTAATCTAATGATAAAATGAATGGATGGCAGCAGGGCATATGAGAGGGTGTTTATGTTCACAAATTATTACTCGAGAAATTATCTTTTTATACGTTCGCATTTAAACTACTGGGACCTAATATAACCTTTATTAATAATAACCTTTATTTGACCCTCTAACTCTAACACTTTCTATTCTATTATAATTCTACTTTATTTTTCATTTTTTTGTTCTTTATTTCAAAAACAACAACAACAAAAAAACAAACACTAGCTTTCTATTTATTCTATTCTATCTACTTGTTTTTCTTTGTTTGTGTGTGTGTGTGTGTGTGTGTGTGTGTGTGATCTATATATATATATACATCTTGCTATGTGTAGTGCGTTAGGCTAACCGAGACCTGTCGTTTGCACTTATATATTGTTGCTCTTTTGTTAGTTTTGACTGCTTTTATTGTCCTCATTTGTAAGTCGCTTTGGATAAAAGCGTATGCTAAATGACTAAATGTAATATTATTTATATGCACAACTGTATAGAATGTACTTCATATTACCCAGAAAATGTGTCATTTAGTGTGCTCCAAGTTCATTTATGGGCTTTGAATGTACTGTGGAGTTGTGAATTGTGCATTGGGACAACCCTTTATTTGGTCCCGCATCTAAAACAAATTCTATTGGCCACAACGAAAGTTCGAACGCATGTTTTCGACATTCATTGGTGAATCGATCTGTCAATCAATTGAGCAGCTTTTCGTGTCGTAGACGCCAAAAGCACCAATTGTGTTCCAGTGGGCGGGGTTTGACCAGTAATCCAGGATGTGAATGTTTTGTTTAGTCCGTGTAACTGGCAATGATGTTTACAATAAATATATTCTGCATTTTTATTCTTAGTTGCAGTGACCATGAAGAAAACAACTAGACGAAAGCCGCAGACGTTTATCTCTCGTTTTGTTCGCACTTTGAATGAGCAGTGGGGATTGAATGGTCACTGATTGCTGTCCTCGGCTGGGATTGCAGCTTGGCCTGTCAGTGTACTGCTGTTACAGTCATGTTTATTTCATAAAGATGGCAACGAGGGGCACATTATAAACTAAATGACTGTCAGAAACATCGCCTCCATTTGTAATATGGTGAGTATAGCGTGGGTGGCGTGCTGGCTTGCTCTTACGTAATGAAGATAGTTGAATGGCTTTCCTCACAATCAGGTGCATGACCTCTTTATGAGCTGCTGTATGCATGGATCACCACTGTACTGAATCAGCTCTCAGAAATAGACCTATGTATTTGTTCAAATAATAAACTGAGACTAGAAGTGTAAGAAATTGCTTAAACTGACTTATCTTAAAGGAAAACATGGGCAGAATCAGTGATGATGCCCTTTTATGTTGTGATAGCTCAGGCTAGTAATCTGTGTTGTTAATCTTGCATATTAAAAGCTAAAAATTGTCTCAGTGATAAAGTAGTTTAAGTGGCCTCTCTGTAAATTGTTTCACTTCCTGAGATGTAAATGAGTGTCTGTGTGCTTTGCATAGATATTTATTGTCTATAGTTTGAGCATATTTCCAAAATGTTACTTGTTGAAATATTATTTAATATGGAGCTGCTCTTAATAATATAGTTCCCCACATAATGAAAATGGTTGTAATGTACAGGTCGCTCATTTCGAGCCAGTTTGAATGAAATGGCACTGGCTCTTTAAAACTTCAGAAAAGTTGAAACAACACCATAAAAGAAGCCAATATCATCTTCTGGAGTCATATGATAGCTTTGTGAGCTGAAATGGGATTGAGCTGAACACATTATTTTTGCTTTTATGAACTAGATGTGTTATTGTTAGTATTAATTATATACTAATACAGTATTTATTCATATTTAGAATTAGCTTCCGTTTTCATTTTATTTTCAGTGTTAGTCATTTTGTTAGTAATTTGTCTAGTGCTTTTGTCATTTTTATGTCACGACTGCACAAAGCATAGAGCAGATTTATTGAACAATTTCTTAGATTTTGGGATTCATCCCAAAAAAAAAAACTATCGCATGACTTATGGAGACTTGTAATATCACCATCACTGTACTTGTACTACGTTAAGCAAGAAAGTTCCTACAAGTTTGTACTTAAACTCTCTGTATTGCTTTTCTTTTGCCATTTTAAAAGTTTTAAGATGGCTAATGGGAGCCCATAGTGTTATGTAATGCTGTAGTTTCACAGAGTTGTTTCTGTGGGATATCTGACATTGCCTGAATATTTTAGTGCCAGAAACTAACATGAAGCCTCTAACCACTGTCAGTTGTTCATCCTTAGATAACTTCAGGTATTGTGTCAATTTGAACTAGATGTGGTTAGGAACAGGAAGAGTGAATTATTGCCAGCATGAGGGCACACAACGTCTGACTGCTGTTTAGGGCTAGTTATGTAACCAATGACCGGACAGGGTTCATTTGTTCATCTCATTGGTGTGTGTTTGGAGCCACATCTTAGTGGCTCATTGACCACATATACAAGGCAAGCTAATGAAATGTTCTCCTTTATGTCTTCCATGTTCAGTCCTGCTTAAATGGCCTCGATTAGTGTGTGTTTGGTGCACACAACTGCAGACCTGTCTTTCAGTTTGAAATCATGGCTCAATTAACTTTGCTTTCATTTGAGAACACAAGTCTATTACCTGTGCCTGTGTCTGGCAACATATTGCCTTATATGTTTTTGTGTGTTTGTGTATGTGCTCATTTATGTGCTGTGGAAGGTTTCTAATCAGAAACAAAGATGGCCTAGCTGACAGTTGTATGTAGACACCCTATTTATAAAGTCAAATGTTGGCAGAAGTATCTTTACATTGTTTAGCCAACATAATGCCTGTTAATCTAAAGCCTTTGAGCTCAGAGGATTCAATAGCCCTCATGAACGAATGCAGCCCATTACTTAATTATTTATGACCTAAAATATTCAAGCTCTTAAGTCTGTCTTTCACAATGCCGTATTTATATTTCAATAGGTAATGAAGATCTATTAGTGCTGGAATTGAAGGTCTTTGTGGATTCATATTTCCTACAGATAAAAGGGCTGCTGTCTCGGTTGGGTTAATAACACAAAACTAGACAATGCACAGATACAGAGAGCGGCTATTTCCCATCTTTCAACTGTCTTGACTTCACTGGTGTATGACTTTGATCTCTGGATCTGATTGTGGTGCTTAGTCATTACCTGATCTGCTCATTCAGAGTCATCCAGTGATACCCGGGTTCTAAAGGTATGTCAGGTTATAAAAGGGCGGCCATATACACTACCGTTCAAAACTTTGGGGTCAGTAAGGTTTTTTTTATGTTTTTGAAAGAAGTCTTTTATGCTGAGCACAGCTGCATGTATTTGATTAAAAATACAGTAGAAAAAATTGACAAAATATCTGTTTTCTATTTTAATATATTTTAAATGTCATTTATTCCTGTGTTGGCTAAGCTGAATTTCCAGCAGCCATTACTAAGTTAAGTTAAGGTAGGCCTAAGTGTTTCTTATTATTATCATCAATGTTGAAAACCGTTTCTCTTGATATTTTTGTGGAAACTGAGATAATTTTTCTTATTGATTGATAGAAAGTTCAAAAGAACATCATTTATTTTTATTAAATTATATATATGTATATATATATATATATATATATATATTTTTTTTTTTTTTTATATATAGAGAGAGAAATCTTTTGTAACAATATAAATGTCTTTACTGTCACTATTGATCAGTTTAATACATCCTTGCTAAATAAAAGTATTAATTTATTTAAAAAATTGAGGGGCAATATTTGTCCCCTGCAATTGCCAAATCCCATTTTTGAGGGAATTAAATTGTTATGATTATTATGAATTATTTTATGTGTATATGTAAAACTACAGTATTTCAATTAAAATTTGTTACCTGAAATACATTCTACATTCATTGAAACTGATCTGCAAAATGGCTTGGGCTTCTAATGTCTGATGCCAAAATATGCTAAAATATGACCACCATATTTACATATGAATAAATATATAAAACATGCCTTTAAATCACTTTATCATTTTTTCACATTCAGTGACATTTCTGACCCTTTTCTAGGTCAAATTTCAAAAGATAGAGTGAATACATAAATGTGGCTGGTATCTTATGAACACTGATTTCAGTGTTACTAGAAGAGAAACCATCTAGAGCAGGGGTGGCGAACGTCGGTCCTGGAGAGCCGCAGCCCTGCAGAGTTTTGCTTCAACCCTAATCAAACACACCTGAACAAGCTAATCAAGGTCTGAACAGTTACTAGGAAGCTACAGGCAGGTGAGTTTTAATTAGGGTTGGAGCTGAACTCTGCAGGGCTGCGGCTCTCCAGGACCGGAGTTCGCCACCCCTGGTCTAGAGTCTCATTGTACTGAGGCTAAAGTGAAACTCTGATCTTGTCCCGCTGATTCAGTTACATTCTGTCATGGATTCTTATCCAGCATCACTTCCTGCTTAGTTGTTCTATCCATTATTAAGGCTTTGTGTATCATCCCTGTTACAACTTAAATTTCATCTCATTCAGTTGCTGATAAATTGAACCATTACAACACTTGATCCTTGAGTATCAGGTTTCAAAAATCATATGCCTAACTGCCAGTGGATTTTTGCAGTTATTGTGAATGTTATCAGGAGTTGAACATAGTTACTGTTTGTACATATAAAAAAATAATAATAATAAAATAAAGATTTTTATGTTTCTATATGACTAAAACCAGAACACCTCAGTGTTCAGTGTTAACATGAGTATTTATTGATAGTAACGACGAAGTGACGTGACATGTGGCCAAGTATGGTGACCCATACTCGGAATTAGTGCTCTGCATTTATCCCATCCAAAGTGCACACACACAGCAGTGAACACACACACACACCCGGAACAGTGGCCAGCCATTTTTGCTGCGGCGCCCGGGGAGCATTTGGGGGTTCGGTGCCTTGCTCAAGGGCACCTCAGTCGTGGTATTGAAGGTGGGAGAGAGCGCTATACATTCACTCCCCCCACCTACAATCCCTGCCGGTACGAGACTCGAACCCACAATCTTTGGGTTACGAGTCCGACTCTAACCATTAGGCCACGACTTTCCCAGTATTATAGTATTCCATACTTGGCATTGACGTGTAAATTAAGAAAGCTTACCAGGCATAATTATGTCTTACCGACTGGTAATGGTAGTACTATAAAAAGCAAACAAGCGTAGGTCATTGTGTCACTTGCAGCATCATATACGAGATGAGTCACTCTCGAGTTTGAGGTAAATCGTGATTTTGTTCCTCATATTTCCATTTTGGTGGCTTAATGTCACTTCATGGCGTTTTAGAGAAAACTTTAGAGATAAATGCCTTTAATTATAGCTGTGAGTCTTCTCACTTTGTCTCAAAATGTGATGTATGAGAATGAATATTCAATGTAAAATTAAAGTGTAATTGCCAAGTCTTTTATTTTTCCTCTCTCTTTGTCATTTCAGGGCACCAATGCCTCTGCTCTGGAGAAAGACATTGGTCCAGAGCAGTTCCCCATTAATGAACACTATTTTGGATTGGTCAATGTAAGTATCACTTAGCACCAGACTAACCCTTAAACAGACACATGACTGGTGAAGTCCTGTTTACGGAGCAAAAATACAATACGTATTATACACATGGTAATGGTTTGCATATTTGTTCAGTGAAACATTGAGTAGCTCAGTTTTCTCATGTTATCATGCCTAACAACATTATTCATTGTAAATTTGAGGGGCACCACAGCATCAAAACAAAACAACCAGCTGAAATGTTTCACTGAGTTGAAAAGCTGGCTACCCATTTTATTTGTTATTTTCAACAGAAGTGAGTGGTTTATTTGTACTCTTCAGCGAAATGTATAAGCATTTGATTTCCACTGCAGAACATGTCAGCTTGACTAAGCAGAATGTCTTCCTGCTGCCATTAGTGCAGCTGGTATAATTAATGAACATGTTACTGTTCAGTCTTAAAGCTGAATCTTTCAGGTCAAGCTGCCTCTTTGTTTTGGCAGAACAGTTAATTCAGTAATTCAGTGAATAGTCAGGAGATCCACAGAAATCAGGTCACAGTTGTTATTTTTCTTATTGTCTCTTATTTAGTTTAGAAAGAGGTCCACATAAATTAGGTCATATTTATTATAATTTATTTTTCTTTATTTAGATTCATAGGAGAATTGTCAGCCTGAACTAATGAGAATTGCATTAATTTTAATTAAGAATTTACTGCCATCATAAAGCGACGATAAAACAAAGCAATTAACTTAATGAGAGAATTGATTAGTGTAACATCAAAATGATGTGTCTGAGTATACAGGTGCATCTCAATAAATTAGAATGTCGTGGAAAAATTTCAGTAATTCAACTCAAATTGTGAAACTCGTGTATTAAATAAATTCAGTGCACATAGACTGAAGTAGTTTAAGTCTTTGGTTCTTTTAATTGTGATGATTTTGGCTCACATTTCACAAAAACCCACCAATTCACTATCTCAACAAATTAGAATACTTCATAAGACCAATAAAAAAAAA